AACCCCAGGGGAGGGGGGGGGGGGTGAAGTTAGGAATTTCAGGAGTTGTAACTTCCCTATCTGCAGGCAGGTTTTCAAAAAACTAAATCTTTCATCTTGAGGACAACTGTAACAGTAAGATATAAAAAGTCAGATCAGGGAAGGCTGATTACTGTCATATATTAGTTTAACTTTGTTTTTCAAAAGCACAGAAATCCAAAAAGTTTAAAACTGTCTCCAATTGTGGCCAACACAGTAGCCATCTGGACATACTTCTACAGGACAGGAATGCTATTTCTAGAACAACTACACCCTGATGGCCTCAAAAGCAGCCTACTATGTAGCCTTGTTTGATATTTTAATGTTTATACCCAAGAATGTTTTCCCACACTTGGTGTATGGAACGCGAAGCATTAGATTTTTTTTTCTCTTAGCATACGAAGTGCTTGAGGATTATTTAATCTCAAACATTAAGGTCACACTCCTGGATATCATTCACATTCATCATTCATTTCTATTCCTTTCTCCCCAGCAACACAGACCAGAGATAGTAACAACACAAATTGCCTTAAGCTCATTAATAGTTTTGCAGTGAATGCTGATGCATGGACCAGCTAAACACTGGAACCAGACTTTCATCAAGCCAGAAATTTATCAAGATTGTTCTCTTCTATTTCAAAAAGACAGACATGGAATTCACACAGAATTCCAAACCTATGTACTGTGATTTCATAGTAGAAACCTTTGATATGATTTCATACCGACTTTAAATTTGGAAACATACCGAATCTTTTTCCAGAAAACAAAGAAAAAAACCCTTTTCCTTTGTATGGTACTTGTCACACTAAGATGCTAAATACCAGCTGGGGAAGTTATGTACAAAAGTAACAGAGCTCAACTGCACAATCTGTCTTTTGGAGCTTTTATCAATTTGGCGGGCTTATCAAATGACTGTTTTTATAACTTCACTTAATACGAAAAAAGCACTTACTGGCTTTTCAAGCACAACTGGATGATCAGGAAGAAACTTTTGCTTCTTTTGAGACACAGAAACACTTGAAAGTTTCAGAAGGAAATCTCTGCTGTATTTGATCCTTTCTGTGAATATATAAAATTACTAAGTTCAACATCATTCTTTAAGGCATTAAGGTTGGGAATTCAGAGAACTGATTTGGTTTCTTTCAGAAGGATGGACATGCTGCATTTGGAATATAAAAATCAACATTAAAACCAGCAGTAATTTAAGTCTGACCTTGCATCAGGACAATCTGTAGTAAATTACAGAGCATTTCACTTTACCTCTATCAAATTGACTTAGTAAATACTGAGGACTATTCCAAGCTAATAGGGGTTTGTTGTTTTAATACAAAAGAAGACAAAAAGGTCAATACAACCTTACACTACAGACAGACTCCCCATATCCTGTTCTAATTAACAGAAGCATCAAAAACTGGTCTTGAAATCCTACAAGAAAATCTTTTTATAATACATACCAAAGTGGCACGTTCCTGTTGGACAGATAACCAAAACTGAGCATCTCTTTTCTCGGAGCTATTAAGTTGATGTCTTTCAACAGGTAAAAGTAATTATGAGATCTGCTGCATGTAAACTGGCAAATTGATTAATACCAATTAAATAGTTTTGAGCATTTTATACTGCATCAATGAGAGTCAAGGGCTTTGCTTAGAATGTGCATTCTAACATTCGAGTTTGTACCACTTTCTCTACTCTAGCATAGCCTGAGCTATAACATGTCTACCCACATCTGTATTTTAAGCTGATATTCTTAAACAAGAGGGAAGGAATTCAGTAAAGAAGAGACAAACCTTATCTCTCGTCCTTGGTGACAAACTTTGTTCCCTTAGGAATTAGAGGCCTCCTGTAGGACTGTTACAGTCACTTGATATTGACTACAGTTTTCACTTGTTTTGTGAATAAGAGAGGCCACAAAGTCAACTATGAACAGGATTTTTTCCTACCTTTGACCACAAGTGATTGTACTAACTGCTGAACACCCGGAAGGACAGACGGACACCCCAACAGAATAATTTTAAAAAGAATAGCTTAAAGAACATGAGCATACTTGAAAACTTATGGCTTGGGGTTTTTTTCCATTGTTTAAAAACGTATAAAGAAGAGGACTTCTGTAAGGCTTTGACACAGACCTGACAACATCCTTCTCTCTGATTTGGAGAGATATTGATTTGATGGGTGATTGTTCGGTGCATGAGGAATTAGCGGGATGGCTGCAGCCAGAGGGTAGTGGTCAATAGCGCGATGTCTAGATGGAGATCGGTGACAAGTGGTGTCCCTCAGGGGTCCGTATTGGGACCAGTGCTGTTTAATATCCTCACCAGTAACACAGACAGCGGGATCGCGTGCACCCTCAGCAAGTCTGCAGATGACACCATGTTGAGTGGTGCATTCAAGACGCCTCAGGGACACGATGCCATCCAAACGGACTTGGACAAGCTCAAGAAGTGGGCCCGTGTGAACGTCACGACGTTCAACAAGGCCAAGCGCAGGGTTCTGCACATGGGCTGGGGCAACCCCTGGTATCAAAACAGGCTGGGGGATGAAGG